TACACTCAAGTTTTCAGTGTTAATGTTTACACTTACACTTATGTGTTAAGTGTTAGGGGTGCTTTTCATCTGGGCAGACGGAAGGCACCCTAAGACTTAGCACCATATCTTTACACTTACACTGTGTTCAGTGTTAGGGGTGCCTTCCATCTAGCCAGATGGAAGCCACCCCGTGCTGGAAATAAACTTAGTCTGGGCTCATAATTGATTGCTTGATATAAGATAAGTCCATGTCACTTGTGCTGGATTTTAAGTCCAACTAAAGTTACATTGAAGCTTCATTGAAAACTTATTGAAGCTTTCTTGAAGCCTTTGTGCGGCTTTCATGGAGTCAGTGGTATGATCTGGCCTGCCAGAGCCTTGTAGACGGGGGATGTGGATGTTCAAACAAAAACCCGGAGAGCGCCTTTGTTACATACAATTAACCCCACTTGGATCATTCATCCGCACGCCCAAGAGTCATTGCATAATAAATGCAATTATTAATCAGGATCACAAAGTGATCTCTTAGCTGGTGCAGTACTCTTTCTCACTCATATGCATATTACAAATTGTATTTCTCTCATTACATCATGACGTGTGATTGAGTTCCTCAGGATCTTATATGGAATATCCCAAATCATCTTGTTGTTCTCTTTCCTCATTGAACTTAATCTTTTCTTTTTGTGTCACATTCTTTCTTTACAGAAAGTTGTTTCCTTTTGATCACTTGTGGTCTTCCTCAGAAAGACTAAGTGTGATCTTTATCCTTTTCAGGGAAAGTGAAACTTCAATTACCTCAGTTATTTTTATTCACTCATTTGGCTTAGCTTGAACAAGCCCTCTCTGCGCAGACATGTCCACGCGCCTTGCAGAGGGGCTTGGGACTAATTGTGAAATTCTGGCATGGACACTCCAAGGATTGAGACCTCTTAAGTTGTTTTATGCTTTTTCCTGTTTTCCTCACTGATAAACACCAATTTCCCTTGCAGGCAAATTTCTTCAGCACAATGTTGTACACATCCTGGTGTCAGCCCTGAGTACTAAACCAGAGTAACAATGGGTGATGTATCATAATAAAAACCTTAAAAATGGCAATTACAACTCAAGGCTCAGTCTCAAGAGTCAAGTTACATATGATTTAGCATATGTAACATGTGCAGAACTTACATCAAAGGGTGTGACACTGCAAATATAATGTGTTTCTCTGTGGTGAAAAATGATTACATTTAATTCAAAAAATGATTAACAGTGCATTAAATCTACATTAAATCTACAGTTTTATGCATCAAATCTGCATTATTAATCATTTTGTGCATTAAGTTCAATCATTTTTCACCTTAGAGAAACACATTATATTTGCAGTGTGAACACACATCACTTTGATGCAAATCAAAGCTACATATATTTCACAGCCGTAACACATATGTAACAAGTGAAACATACTTATAATCCAATAGTAACTGTCTTACTGTAATTAACCTAACCATAGAACCACAATTTGTGCGCACTTGTAGTCCAAAGATTTACAAGGTTCAGACTATATAGAGCCTGGAAATCCAACCAAATTGAGAGGAATTACATCATCACAATATTATTTAACAACTACACAACTTTGCTTTTATTCATCTGCCTAGAACCTTTAAACTTTGCTTATCAATTACCAAACTTTAAAGGCCTGATTCTACAAACCTTGAAACTCAAACCTTGTGTCTTGTTGCTTATTCTGTGTGCTCATTCAACTTTGTTTCTGATTAGACTCCCTAATCAGTAGTTCTTGTAATATCCATTTGGTGGAATTACTTGTAAGGAAGTAGTCCTTGGGTACTGCTTATATCAGATTTGGGATTCATCTGATATAAGAAACTCTAAATCTACGGGGAAATCTCTATTAGTCAGAGTGTAAAGTTCCCGGTGTTATAATAGACTTTAACACCACCTTCTTTGACCTTTCTTAGAATAAGAAGAGGATCAAATTAGGATTGAGAACTGCACATCAGTTGCTCTTATTTTTAATTATTGTAAAGACATTAATTAACCCAAAATCCCTGTGCTAAAGCCTTTGTTTAAAGGTCAACTAACTGGAGTCTTTACTTGTTTATTCCAAGTAAAGCTCTTACACCCAAATCTCTACCCATTCATACTCATACATATTGATCTACACAACTTTGGTAGAAGTTACCATACCTTCTACAACCTTTTTATTGAATCTACTAACCTGACAGACGCTAGTAGGATCACACCTGGTATGTGCATATCTTAGATATCCTGGGTGATGTGGCTGAGAAAATGAGATCAAAATCTTTACAACAATTCCCTTTTTTGGATTTCAAGTTGCTTTACGTTGTAAATACAGGCTGTACAGTGCAGACCACCCCTCACAGGGCAGACATATAGCTTGAAAAGGAACCTCAAGCATTCACAAATGGAGGATTTTTCCGGGTCAATTAGTGGTAGAACACATGTACAAAATTATTCCAAATAACTTTGCCTGCAAGGCAAATTGTTGTTTATCAGTGAGGAACGCCGGAAAAGTCAAAAAATGACTTAAGAGGACTTAATCCTTGGAGTCTCCGTGCCAGAATTTCACGATTAGTCCCAAGACCCTCTGCAAGGCGCGCGGACGTGGCCGCGCAGAGAGAGGACCCTGGAATACACCCACGGAGGGTACCACAAAAATCTTGACCTTTTGTTGACAGGGTTTTTCAATACTAACATGCACTTTATGAAGACCTATAGGAGCGCAAAAGATGCACCAGAATGAAGGCTTTCTTCAGCCAAAACATGTGCTCAACACAAAGGCAGCAGTGAGTGTCCAATTGACAGAAAGGATGCCAAGAAGCTGAATATCAATTCAAAAAACAAGCTCCATGAGACAGCAAGAATTCATGCAATCACAGCATTCACAGCTGTAGCAATTCAAAGAGTGAAAGCAAGCAAAGAATCTAATTTAATCACAAGTAAATTGATGACAAGCAAGCTCAAAAGCAAAGACCTTGAGATTGCTTGGGACAAAGAAGAAGATTGTCCCAATGAGATTTCAAAAAGGATACTACAAAGGCTAACAGAGAAAGTTGCTCAGTGTTATCAATAGCTTATACCTAATATTTCATTACAAATCTTCAGCATCAAACAAAAAATCATATTCATTGAAAATCAATACAAATCTTCATCATCAAACAAAAAAACATATTCATTGAAAATCAATACAAATCTTCATCATCAAACAAAACATCATATTTGTTCAAATTAGATACAAATTTTAATCACCAAACAAAACAAAAATTAGGGTGTACAAATATGAATTCTGTCAAATTTCAGAGACTTTGACAGAAGGTTTTGCAGAACAACAGATACCAAAATTTTGATGTGATCTGTTGTTCTGTTGCTCTGTCTGCCTTGATATTTGCAACCAACAACAGATCCCGCCAAATTTTGGTATCTGTTGTTCTGTGAGACCTTCTGTCAAACTCTCTGAAATTTGACAGAAGTCATAGTTGTACACCCTAAATGTACATCAGAATAGCTGATATTAATAAATAATTTCTTTATCTGATATTCATTTAAAATCAAGGATTTTACGAAAAGGAGCCCCCCCTCTGAAGGGTTGACCGCCCCCTTTTAGTCAGGGAAGACGTTTACAATACAAAAGCGTGTGAATATGTGTGAATAAAACAACACATAGGGGCTCATAGGGGGCGGTCTGGATTCAGGTGAAATGGAAAGTTACTGGATGAGATGCTACAGAATGCTATTGATACTATCTTGCTTCCAGTCTCTGGCATGGCAGAGGCAAGACCTGATATTGCATGTTCTTCTGATTGACTGTCTCTATATGATGATGACAATGAAGCAATGAAATATCCAATTGTGTTTCATCATCACTTATCAACCGTGATACATGTTGGTCTGAATGTGAGGTGTAATATATAACCTTGATCTAGTGAGGGATCTTATCATTATCAATCAAATCTTTGCTTTGGTTATTACCAATCGAGTTTCTTTACGTGCGCATGTGTTTAATCATCACAAGAAAGAACCAGGAAGAAGTAGAAATATTTATCAATCACTGTGAAAGGGGGACAAGAGGAAATTTGTGATTGTAAGCAACACCAGGGATGGAGATGTTTGAATTACCAAGCACCAAATCCAACAACAGATCTTAAGCCATGAAAGCAGGAGGAGGTGATAACAATGCTTTTAACGATTGGCTTCCATTTCACCTGAATTCAAGACCGCCACCTTGATGTTCAGTTTTGCATTCACATGGATCAATAACTGACAGCCTTTTTGATATTGTATTCTTCTTCCCCGACTAAAAGGGGGCGGTCAAGCCTTTGAAGGGGGGGCTGCTTTTAGTAAAATCCAAAATCAATACAAATCTTATTCATCAAACAAAACTAATATGTAATCTCAAATTGGTGTAAAAAGCTTATTAATGTATAACCACAGCACTGCCGACATTTTTACCTCAGGGTTTTGACATAAATTAACAGACACCAATGCATCCCCATATACATAGGCTTTGAGAGATACCAACTACTGCTACATCCTCAAAGCCTCCCGAAATGGTTTTGACCAAGCTCTAAGAGGTGTGTTCTACTATTTGGTAGATGATACCCAGCCTTTCTGCATGTTCAATTGAAAAGTTACATTTTGGAAGCCCATGATTTGGAAAGCATATCCTTGTCAAATATGAGCGAGATGGCAAATACAAGCTGGCGGTTCACAAGCAGGATATTTTGGAGGTTGTAGTTGCTCTTTTGGTTCTTAGCCCATATTCACTGAGGTCAAGACCAAATGACAAATTTGATTCATGACTTTTATACATACATTTGTAATGTTCTTGATACATAATACACACTTATTTCTACATCTGATTGAAAATGAATGAAAAGTAATTTAAACTGATCAAAATGATATACATAAATAATTCAAAACTCAAAAGATAACAAAAAACCAACATCCTTCTGACCGGCCTCTGAAGCCTCAGAGTTTGGTATTTTTTGCAGAAAAATTGATCAGACAAGTGTATTCAGTTCCGATAACCCCTTAAGAGACTTTGACGAGGTCTCAGGTTTAGATTTGTTTTCTACCGGGCTAACTCTCCAAGCTTGAACAAAGAAAGGAATAATGATTACATTCCCAAGGACAGCCCCAACGCTATCTCCACTAAGCAAACAGATGATGAGGAATACGTCTCTATTGGCTGAAGTGACTGGTGATATGACAATGAAAAAGGTGATTATGGCGTAAAACTGATGAGAGATCCCGAAGAGGAAGGCGATCCTGGGTTAGCGGATGCGTGGACTGACGCAGATAGATAGGTCCAGCACGCACCATGGTAGTCATATAGATGAGGATGATCATGAGTATGATAGATCTAAATTGTGCAGTGTGATCGGGTTTCCTGTTTGAATTCGTCGGATTGGGAATCAAGATCGGCTTTCCAGAACTATAAGATGCTCCAGAAACCCGTGGACTGTAAGCTTCTATTTTGTTTCGGAAGTCTGATTTGAGCGCGGGCTCCGCTTTCGACATCTTGATAGCTTTTTGGAGGAAGCGGACTTGTACGACCGCGAAAGGTGTGAACACCACGTTGAGGAGGATAGTTATGAAAGCCCAAATCTGATGGTGTTGTGTTAAGGCTTTTATCAGAAAGCTGCGCATACATGAGAAACTTGAAAAATCCTCACCCTGTAGCCCGAGATAAAGTGCGTGCGAGCTTGGTCCTAAAGACAGGCAAAAATTATATATCATGAGAAATACAAGGACTTTTACATGGCAAAAAAGTTCTTTGGATGACTAGGCACTTACCCTGAGACGGGTTGATTTATCTAATTGCCTCAATGCAGTCGTCAGCGTTTCCATTGTTTTGATAGACGCGTTGGCTTGGAAAGTAGGAATCAGCTCTGCGAGATCTTGCATCACGTTCGAAAGACCTCGAGAAGCGTTATAGAATGCGATAGAGCTTGCTATAAATACGGCTGTCTCGACTTTGGCGTTTTGGGAAGAAGTTTCAGAAAGCCATGTTGTAATTCCCCGAGAGTTTAGAAAATAGAGAAAATGTCTCAACTTATAGCAATGATCACTGGCAGAGAGATTGAGAGTATATTGATCGCCCAGACGCTCCCCCAAAATTGACCGTTGGATTGATCAGATTCTCCTAGATTCATTCCTTTTTTCAAAAGTACGCTTGACATCGTGCCCCAAACGAAGATCCTACAATGAGAGCTGTGTCATTTTGGCCGAAGAGTTTCAAGGAGTGGTTCGAAGGTCAAGAAATCTTGAGTGACAGGGAGGCAGGCCTCACCATCCTGACCACCATAGGGGGATCCATTTTAGCCCTAGGATTGTCAGTCTCATGACGTGGAGCTGTTGATACAGATAGTTGAATGAGTCAACTAGAAGCTAGATATGTCAAAAATGAAGGTACACACACGTTTGTCCTGTCTTTTACCAGAGCGATGTTCACGCCGTCAAGTGCAATAAAGGCAGCGATAGCCTCCAAGATGATGCAGTAACTGTACAACATTCGCGTGTTGGGCAAGAGTATTCCAACTGGAAGAAGAAAGAAAAGACACAAAACGGAAAGATGTGTTGCAGGTGTGTAAGAATAATCAGCATCACATGGCGAACTTGGTGTCCACCCCGTCCAAATGCAGAGAGATGGACACTGACATCGACCGCGTCGCACCAACCAAGCGTTTGACTGCCTCCATAATAAAAATGCCGTCCAGCAGCCCAAGATTATTTGCCTGAAGTGAGGAGCAATTGAAGTTGTGATGACCATTGACATGTGGGAGACTGTTCAACCACTTGGAGAAAGGTGAAATATACGAACGTTAAGTCAGCCAAACCAAATACTATGAGTATAGGAGTGAGCCATGTTGGATGTGAAGTCGTCTATTGAAAGGGTGAAATTCAAGAACATCAGGGACCTAAAAAATGAGAAGCAGTTGCGCCATGACAATTTTTACCTGTGGATCAGAGGCGGAGAGGATTTCATAAACAATGCGATATGTATTTTGCTCTGGGTCGAGCAAATCAACTCGCGACAATATTTGCTGCGAGCTCGGGATGACCCGCGCGATTTCATCCATCGTTGATGCCCTTGTGAATGGAAATTTGGAGGCCTAAAAGTACTGGCAGGAAACGTTGCTAGATCTGGGTCGGTTTTTGAGAGAGAGACGTCGTTGCTTGATACAATAACTTTGAAAATGGCTGAACACGATCCACTTGAATCGAGAAAGAAAGAAGAAAAAAGGAATGCGAGAGGCAATCGTTCACTACAGAGGTCAAAAAGCTTGGTGAGAGTCTCCTCCTACACAGAAGAGACACAACAGTCCACAGCCTGAAGGGGACGAGGTGATAACTTTCGATTGTCTGGCCCGTCACAACGCCATGCAACAAGATACAATACCTGGCTTACCGGTGCAGCACCAGTGGTCAATCTTGATCGTGCAACGCCTCGTCAAGCTATCACCCAACTGAGAATTGATCCTTGGACTCGGGGTGAATCCGCAATCACCTTGGTATCGGTCAACCGTTTCCTCATCAGTGTGCTTGGCTTCGACATCGTTGCGAGAGATGCCCGCCGAGGCAAAAGACACGTAGAAGGGCCTCAGATGTCAGACCCACCAATGCCTTTTAGGTTTCTCAATCTTACCAACTCTTCAGATCTCATGGGCCTATCTTATTGAGGGCCTCGATCATGGATAATTGAAATGTGTCTCGCCTGGTTGTTTGTTTATGTTCAAGTAGAGATGCGGTGAATTGTCTTTGCCTTATTGCAATTGACTCTTTGTCAGAATTACGACTTTTATGGACAATTGATGAAAAGGAAAATAGGAATGGAGCACCCACGATGGACGAGAGAGGAGAGTGTAGGACGAGCCTGGACGAGCGGATAAGCTTATCAAATGAGCGGTTTAGAACATACACAGAGTGTAGTTATGCTAACGGTCTCTCAGAGAACCATCATGGCGGAGATTTATGAGTGCTTTGAGAAGACAAGACGGTGTAGCCTTCCTTCTCTGCAAGATACTTCCAAGACATTTTACCTATAGCACTACCCCTTGATCCCCTGATATCAGATTTTGACAGCTCACTATATAGTTTTGCAGTGGACTCTGGGCTTCCAGTGATCAGAACAATCAGATTCCATCATCAAACTGGAAGAACAAGATGATCTATGATTCCTTTTCCATCTCAAGGTTTTTTCTGGGTTAGACAGGCAATCTTTTTATTATGATCATTCATTGCTTTATAAAGTGTCATTGGAGCCTTTTGGCAATCAGACCATACACCACGGGGGCACCCTGACAGCCAAATGACTGTCCCAGTGGGCCACCAGCAGACCGCCGCTTGTTGCGGGGAGACTGACGGTCTGCGGGTAGCCAGTTTGGCGACGACCGTGTGCCGAACAAAAGGAGGCCTGGCCGCCCAGCATGAGGGCGGCTTTGTGGCGCCTGACGTTTGGCCTTGCGCGACCCTTTGACAGTCAGCAGGCTATTTTCAAAACCTGATGAGACTCATGCCCTTGGGGCCAAACTCCTGCGCGCCTCATCGGCGCTGGCATTTCAATTGGGGCATGAGCAGCTGTCACGATTCAAAACAGTTCATAGCGGGTGTGAAGCGGAGTGCATTACTCGGGGGGAAACTCAAGAAGTGGAAGAAAAGATCGTATTGAATAATAACAAACGAGTGAATGGAGAGATCATTGAAAAATGTTAAAGCTAAAGGTCAGCGCTCGTCGCTTCACCCGGTCCGAGAACTAATCCAATCTTCGATAGTGAAGAAAGGAAAGAACCGGGTGGAGCGAGGCTATATAAGTGATCTAACCTAACCCCGCTACAAGGATATGCTACTACGTATACAGGATTGTAGTCTAGGACTGTAACACACATATAGGCTTCAACACTCCCCCCCAGGACTAGACAAAAATCCTCCTAAAGAAAACACACAAAAATAAAACTCAAAATATAAAAATGAAAAAATAAATGAAATGAAATGAAAAAAAGTAAAACTTCAGCTCCCAGTCATGCCTAGCATCTTGATTGCTTCTTTATGTTTTGTAGGTCCTAAGGGCTTAGTAAATATATCTGCAACCTGCTGGCTCGCTGGTATCCATTTAATGTCGACTTTCTTTTTGTGAAGCTGTTCATTTATGTAATAGTACTCCCTTTCCGCATGTCTTGTTCTCTTGTTAGCCGCATTATCTTTTGAAACATGTACTGACGATGAATTATCACATAAAAGTAATGGTGGTGGTAAATCAGGTAACATGTCCGTTGCTAATGAGTGTAACCAAACTGAATCCCTACATGCCGCTCCTATCGCCATAAACTCCGCATGACAAGTTGAAGTAGCTACACACGCCTGCCTTCTCGCCACCCACGCTACCGGTACCCCAAACAATCTCGTCACATGCCCATAAGATGATCTAGCAAATTCCCCGCCCCAGTTAGCATCCACAAAAGTCTCCATCGGTGCTGAGTACTTCGTCTTTCGAGGATTGATTAAAATACCCATGCTTGCTGTCTTCCTTAAATATCGTAAAAGATGTTTTAACGCGTTCCAGTGAGCTTCTTGAGGCGTCTTGCCATACCGCGCAAGGAAATTCACCGAGTAAGACAGGTCTGGTCGAGTTCCTACTGCAAGATAGCTTAGTGAGCCGATTATCGAAAGATATCTCCCCCCATCAACTGGAGGAACATTCACAGAGGTTTCTAATCGGGTTGACACACTCAGGGGGTTTTCAGCACTTAGGACAGATAGTAGATCAGCATTGTCTTTGAGTATACGGTTTGCAAGCTTAGGTTGTGACATTTCAAAGCGGTCAGGTGATGGTCGATTGATTTCAACACCCACAATTGAATCTAAGCTTGTTTCCCACTTGATCTTGATTTCAGCTTTGAGTAAACCCTCAATCTCCATCAGCAATCGTGTGCTACTACCGGTTACAGCACCATCGTCCACATGGAGCCAGATGAGGCAAGTATCGGATCCGCGTCTTAGGATGTAGAAACTAGCATCGAATTGACTAGGTCGAAAACCCATCTTTTCAAGCTTTTTCGCGATAAACTTCCACCAGCACCTCATTCCTTGCTTAGTTCCATACAGAGCTCGGAGACACTTGAGTACTTTCGAGACCGGTCCGTAAGAAAAACCGGCTGGTTGTCTTACCCAAACATCTTCTTCCAGAGGGCTATGAAGGAATGCTGCGGTAACATCAAAACCGAAGGTGTTCCAGCCAAACATTGCTGCAACCGTTACGATTATTCTCAAAGCTGCAAAGGTAGCGGTCGGTGCGAAAGTCTCGTGGTAGTCGACCCCTTCGATTTGAGTAAACCCCCGAGCCACATATCTGGCTTTGTAAGTTCCATCTCTCTTGATATCAAACACCCACTTCGCATCAGTCACCTTACGATCTTTAGGCAAATCACACACTTCCCACACCTGCATCTCTCTCATCTGGTCCATCTCCTTCTCACAGGCCGCTCTCCACTTATCTGCATCACTACGACTCATTGCTTCCTTGTAAGTTTTTGGGATAGTTGGATCACCGTTCTTCAGACTGTTTTCTACAGAAGTTACCAGGGCATCTTGTTGCATGACCGCTTCCTCGGCATCGAAACTTCCAAGTTGTAAAGCGTTCAGGATGTGACTGAGATTACCCTTTGACTGTTCTGGTTCTTTGATTTCCTCAAGTACCGGCTCTTTATCATCAGAGAAAACCGCCATAGACGATTCAACAACCTTCTTAGTTTCAAAGTTGAAAAATTTCCACCCTTTACTGCCCGGTAAGTAACCAATGAAAATACACTTTTGAGCTCGTGGATCCAGTTTACCTCGCCTCTCCGAAGGTATGTGAACAAAAGCTTCTTCTCCAAACGTGCGTAAGCCTTCAAGATGTGGTTTCTTCCCAAAAAGTAATTCGAAAGGTGTTTTATCGCCGGTGTTCACATTCGGGATTCGGTTATGAATAAAGCCAGCAGTTAGGTAGGCGAAACACCAAAAGAACTTTGGTAGTTTTGACGCAATCAGCATGGTTCGACCCATGTCACCAATCGTCCTGATGGAGCGTTCAGCAACACCGTTTTGATTGTGTTCATACGGAAGGGTTTTTTCTTTTGCGATGCCATGAGCTTTGAGCCAGTTAAGAAAAGTTGCTGAGTTAAATTCACCGGCGCCATCAGTTCGTAGTTGCTTGACCTTAAATGATGTCTGACGTTCCATCTTGAGAACAAATTCCTGAAAAACACTTGGTGCGTGATCTCTTGATTTCAAAACCATAACGTCGGTAAAAGTTGTAGCCAGGTCTCTAAAGGTGATCATGTACTTAAAACCAAATAACTCTCCATCAAAAGGACCAGCAATGTCCGAAACAATTAACTCAAGCGGTTGGGGCCGTTCTCTTCCCGACGGACCCATCGTTTGATGTCGGAGGCTCTTGCTAATCAGACAGTCAGGGCATTGAAACGGTGCGTTCACTAAATGCTCGGGAAGTCCTGTCGTCATTTCTTTACTTAGCAGCCTTTTGATCACTCTAAGACCTACATGTCCGAAGCGCTTATGCCATCTCAAAGCTTCATTGCTCTCCTCTTTCGTAAACACTCGGGCACGGCAAGACGAAACATGAGTCTGACAGGCAGGTGGTTTTGGTGGGTTTGTGATGAGAGGAACTAGCCATCGGCGATTCTTGTATTTCGACGTTAATGTATGAGATCCAAAAGACAAAGATAAATCATAGCCGGAAAAAGAAAAAACATATCCATCCTCCACCAGAGCTGCCATGGAAATAAGGGTTCCTTTCGCTCTTTCACAGTAATACACATCCTTGATTTTAATAGATGCACCCGAGTCGCTTTTGAGGATTAACGACCCGATTCCTGTGAGAAAGTTGCCTTCAGATTCTGTTGCAACATGCAGTGGGATTGGGGATCGAAGATGAGTGTAGTTGAGCAAAGCACCCACCTCATTTGTGACATGGTGCGTCGCTCCTGAGTCAAGTACCGCCTCTCCCACGTTCCAATCTTCGGTGACAGATGCCTCGCTACTGTAGACCGAGTGAGGTAGTGGAGATGACGCATCGTAACCGTGAGACGCATCAGCCATGTTCGCTCTGAAGGTACCTCGGGATGACGATTGTTGAGAGAGTTCTTGTCGAGCGAGCTCGGGATCGTAGTTTGGTGACTTGGGGCAGAATGGTGTTTTAGACCAGTGCTCACCACCGCAATCGAAACAGTTCTTCAGATGAGCTGGAGTGTTCGGTCCAACCCTGAAGTTCGACTTTGAAGGGTATGTTTTGCCTGAACTCTGAGTCGGAGTTTGGTAACGTCTTTGAGATGACTGACTTGCATGCGTTTGTACTCTAGATCTTGTGGCATAATTATGTCCTCGATCATTGATGTTTAAAGCGGAGATGTTCGGTAACAGATCTATGGCCGAGTCCGCCAATCGATAAGTCTCGTTACGGATTGCTTCTTCAGTCTCTCGAGATGAGATTGCTGTATCAGGGTTTGTGCGTAATCTGGAGTCTAAGATCGTGTTAACGTTGGCAAATTGTTGAGATAATCCGAGCTGCATAACGATGCTAAGAAAGGAGTCCTTAGTAAAAGTGAAACCGGTGCGTTGTAATTCTTCAACCTTAGCTTTCATCTTCGACAGGTGAGCTGCCACCGCATCTGGTGAATCGACTTTAGATTGAAGTATCTCTTTCCATAAGCTGAGATGAGTAGAACGAGTAGGAAAATGAAATAATGATTTTAGGCGATTGAAAACGGTAAAAGCTGATTCTTTCGGGTCGACTTGTAATCTGAGTGTTTCGCATACTGAGACCCTTATCATCTGAGTTATCACATCATCACCAGTAGTTTGCTTTCTATCTTGATCTAGGTAATCGGGAATCTTGGTTATAAAATCAATTAAAACATACAAGTCATTTTTCCAGTGTAAATAGTTCGATCCATTCTCATCTAGCGTGGCAACAGCCTTGTTAACTAGAGTGGGCATTTTAACAAAGAAGTCCATCGAGGTGTAATGATCGGAAACTTGGTGAGGTGGTGGATCTTTAGACATATCTGAAACAGTAACTTGTGAAATCTGGGTTTTTAAATCTGAATGTTTTGAACTCGAAACTAGAACTGAGCTGTTTTCTAAATCTTCTATCTTGATATCTGAACTTGAATCTTTTAACTTGATATCTGAATCTAAATCTTCTTGCCCTTTGGAGGGTAGCAAGTCAACGTCCTTATCGGAGTCGGAATCGGGATTGGTTTTGTTCTCGGGCACTTGGGTGTCGTCGTTGTTATCTGAGGGTTTCTTTTTAGAACCTGAACTTCTGGTTATCATCGATCGTTCAAAAAATTTTAAGCAGAACCGTTCATCTACAACAAACTACAGCTGGTATCACAACTGGGACTCAAAACCTGTTAAAGCTAAAGGTCAGCGCTCGTCGCTTCACCCGGTCCGAGAACTAATCCAATCTTCGATAGTGAAGAAAGGAAAGAACCGGGTGGAGCGAGGCTATATAAGTGATCTAACCTAACCCCGCTACAAGGATATGCTACTACGTATACAGGATTGTAGTCTAGGACTGTAACACACATATAGGCTTCAACAAAAAAGAAATGAAAACATTTTTTTGGATTGACAATAGTGGCTCTCAAACCTGCCCCGGTTTTCAAAAAACCCAGTTGACCCAGTTGTTTTTTGGCAGTAACTTTGTGTATCAAGTTGACATTTGTTGACAGCTCCCAGCCAAAAATTCAACTGGGGCAACCGGGTTTTTTGAAACTGGGTCAGGTTTGAGAGCCACTAATATGAAAGAAGAGAAAGGATGAAGTCTGATTGATTTCTTTGAGAACGCAATCTATCAATTGTTGCGAAATTCCAATCCTCAACAAAGAAATAACAAAAAACGATCAAAAAAGAAACAATCTTATCTTCCTCACCCTTTATCTAGTCCTAAAGACTCTCGAGCTCTACAACATGATTCAAAAAGAATTAAATTAGAAGCAATTTGTTGGAATAAATCAAATTCATACAAAGAAACTTTTGATCAAACCACTCTAAATCATTCAATCTCTCCTCATCGAATTGCGTCTCGGATTGAAGAATATTAGTATCGGAAACCGTTTTGTTTACAACCTGCAACTTCACAACAAAAACGACCAAAGAGAAGATTTGAAGAGGTCTATTTGTTTCCTATTTAACGAACATTTTAGACCCAGCACGATTATTTGAAACGCGTAGGAGTGTAACTGGTCTGCAAAGGGCCAAAAGCGAAATGAATTGAGCAATGGTTTACTTATATCTTGTTTCCTTTTCTTTTTCAAAAATAATAGATCGAGAGACTTTACGATTGTATTTATCCTGGTTGTACAAAAGGATGTCGGACATTGAATCATCTTAATGCACATGTCTTGATGCAAAAGCATGGTAAAAAACGACTTCCAGAAGGTTGGTCTTCTTGCTTACCATCCTTTGATACTCGATTCAAGAATTAACGATTCATTTTCTAGATAGAGTTCGAGGAGGTTAGGAGAGAGTGAAGGTTGATAAAACGATTTAATGGGAATACAAAAGAAGGGTGAGAGCTTGAAACTTGTTAAAGATCATTGAAACACTTGACTTACTCATGCTTCTCTTCTTGGTTCCTGGGAAATCAATTATCGTATGGAAGAGGAATGGATGAATTTCACTTGAAAGATGAATGCAAAATAGTTGAGAGTAATAGAGAAGCCCCTTGACGCGCAACTAGTGAAGCAGTCTGTCCACCCGCGCCAGCTAAACGACTGAGAGAGAAAGGGTTTAAAGGTGAGTGCTGTCTCATGGATGGAGTGGAATAGGATCCCACCGCGCGTAATTGTTGAGAGAACATGATAGGTGAAGGTACTTGAGGGCAGTTGAAAATTGTGAAGGTGACTGAGAAGTTGACAATTCTTTGAAAGAAGTTTGGAAGACAATTAAAACTTGCGGATGATGCTTGGGGGGAAACCAAAGGGGGGAGCACGCGACACAAGAAAAACTTGTACGCAAGGGAGGCTTTGCGAAGTCTGTCCTGCGGCCTGCCCTGTCCTGCATGCCTCTGCTGTCAGTATTGGGAAGGTGCCGCGCAATACCGACTGCTGACCAAACAGGCCGCCTATGGGCGCGTCTACAAGCTGGGCTGCAGGCTGTTCAGGGCTCAAACAGGGGCGGCCAAGGAAGGCCAGCGCGGGGTGGCCTTCTGTCTACCCAGGGACAAGCTTCGGGTCAGAATACGATCCGACGTTTTTAAGACCAGTCAGGATCAACTTCTGACCCAGGATCCCCCCGTGGTGTATGTTTCCAGCACTGGTAAAGCCCCTCTGGCTATGTCAGGGGAAAGGGCTGCTTTTGGCTTAGGGTTTTGGGCGTTGCTTGATGTGTCTTGATCTCTTGTAAACAATGATGTAATCAGTGATTGAAGGTCTGAAAAATGGTTCGTTATATCATCAGTGTCAATTAGGCATGTTTTAACGATGGCATCCAGTGGTTTGTCTACCCACCCCAGGGTGATTGTGGTACCTCGCGCAGTTGTCAAGAGTAGGTCAAAGGTGGGCTCTCCCACCGGGGTTCTCAATGACAAACTTGAGAGCTTTGAAATGCAAGCATCCCTTCAAGGCGACCAGTTGGGTAGGGGTTTGGCCCAAGCAAGAGCACCAAAGAATGGTGTCAAAGAGCAGAAGTAATAAAGCAAAAGATCATTTGAATTGCAATGATAGCAGCAATCAATTCACTGTAACATATTGAAAATAATGATGGCAAAGAACATAACTTGCTTAAACCTACAGTACTTGAGCAAGTGGATGAAATGATGCCAAGTCTCAAGCGATGGAAAACTCACAACATCCAACTGAGAGACAAGGAATTTTACACTACAAACTGATACAACAAGAGAAAACTAGGACATTTTTTGTCTGATGACAGGTAATTTGTTTTAAGGCACGCAACATGTTTCAACTCAAACTTCATCTTGCCCTCTTCTCCCAGAAAAGACGCGTTGAAGGTGAGGGTGAGCAGGATGGTCAGGATGTACTGGAGGATGAATCAAGTTATCAATCACGTGAATGGCACCTCCCCACGCCACACCATCGGCGATTACAACGGGAATAGGCTTCAAAGACTTTCCAGGATGCTTTGCACCGGGGGGAGGGATTGGCTGCTTGACATAAACCCTTCGCTTGAGCTCCTTACTACTTGGCCCGTAAAGGAAAAAAACGTCAGTGGAGCGTTGGAGAGACAATATGAATATTGCAACTTACGATCCAGGCAAATGATATTTCACCAAAGATATAGTCAATGACTCGTTCTTGGCTGACCCCAAAAGCGTGGGGAGAGAGATGTGGGTACTGTGTAACATAGGAAGCAATGAGAACATGTATCATTAAATCTGCGGACACGATTTAAGACACTCACACATTGACTTTGTCACACGGAGTCTTAGGATGAATGAAGGCATGAGGATGTCCAGGTGATGAACGAGGGAAGTCGCCATGTCCGAAAAGGCTAAGACGATCATCGTCTTTCGTGTCAGATAGAAAGTCAAGATTTGAATCCAGTCCGATCATAGTAACATTGGCGTTCTTTGTCTTGTCGACGTGGTCTGTGTAGAAGATAACGTCCGGTACGATATGATAGGACAGTACGTATCGCAGGATGTGAATACCAAAGGGAGAGAACAGGAATGCATTTGCATGCGGGCCAAGTGAACGGAAAGCGCGATTGGTGGGAGCAAAGACAGTAAAACTTTGTTTCTTTAAGCGATGTTCGTTTTCGACAGCTAGACTAGAAAGAATATTTTGGACTCTCTCGTCGACAACGTCAAGGTCGGCATCCAAACCGGAGTCGTTTTCGAGAGGAACAGTTTTGTTGTCCCAAGATGGAAGCAGGATGTCATCGAGCTTTACCTTCTGTAAAGCCGAAGTCAAGGTTGAGAACGGCTGAGGATAGAGGAAAAGCTCAGAAAGGGGTGAAAGCGGGGGGAGTAAGGGAACTCCGTGGACAACGTGAATCACTCCATTTTTGGTAAGAATCGGTTGGTCATGATGGGCACCAAGTGAGGTGAAAAAGTTCAAAGCGGTTATGCCGTGAGTGAAGTGAGGAGGACCGCCCACACGAATACGAAAGGCAGGCGAGCCACTGTGGTGGCTAAATGACAAGGTATGTAGCACAGGAATTAGAATATCTGATAAGAACGTTGAAGCGTCAGATAGCTTACCTAATTTTTAGATCAGAGGGAAGAGTGCTTCTGTCAAGAATATCTTTCAGAGACTTTTTACCGGGAGAGATGTGGTACTGCAGAACCATTTCGAGCAGGTGTAAAAGTATTTTCTTCTTTTTGTCCTTGTCTTCATCTTCTTGCAAGTGATATGCTTCCGAGGAACTGTGATGACCTCTCTCCAACGAATCCGACTCAAGTGCCTGCCAAAACACGTGATCCTCAGGTGGAGTAAGAGTTAGAGGCTCATCGCGCAGGGAGTGTGGGCCCGGACCGTATCCATGTCCATGATGGTGGCGCTTGTGCGGCGGCGTGAGAGCCTCGTTATCTGGAGCGAACAAAGTAAGGTCGGCTTCGGGGTTCGACAAGATTTTTTGGATCGGCTCTGATTGGTTGACCAGCCACGCAAGTCGTTGAATTGGTACCGAGTGATGATCATTGTTGCCCGACTTGTGTGGATGATGCAAAGTCCAATTGAGACTATTACGAAAGGTACACGCACACGCGTCAGTATCACAAATCGGTAAATGATGAAAAAGTAAAAGTACGAATACTGGAAAATACTCACACTTCCCACATTGTATATTGGGACAAGTCAATCGGTTTGGGATGGTGGTGACGGGGCCAGGGCAGATGTGGTAGGTGTGATAACGGTGAAAGGGCAAGGTTCACGATAGTTTCCACTAAGCCTTGTAGTTTCGCAATAACTGGCTTTGGAGGTAATTGAAAAAGGTCATCGTTGACTATGATGTTGTCTTCAAAAGACTTGCGAGCGCTGTTGGAAGCAGGTTCAAACGAGTTGTGAGGAGCAGATGGCACAGAGGCTAAGCCAGCTGGCCGAACGTTGAGAACCGATGTCCAATCTTGGAAAGATAGGCTAGGAAGTTCATCAGACTGAACTTGAAAAGTCAAGCTTTCAGTTTGATGATCTGCTCGAATGAAAAGCAAATGATGAGCCAATAAAACCAAGATTTGAGGAAGTCTCATCTTGAAAACGAAGATAATGAATTGTAGTCGCTAAGATTGAAATCTGAAAGGATGGATGGTTTTGAATACAAAATCAAAAACGTGCAAAGGAAGTCAAGGGGAATTTGACCGATCACACCACCGCTTTATATCATTTTCACAAAGTCACTGATCTCAGTACCCCATTTTTGAGCTTCCGCGCGTTTAAGTGCTTGTGTAAGTTTTAATCTAACACTGCCTTCGCGCAGTTCGCCCTCGACCAATAGAACATCTTACAATTCAAATCACTTTTTTGTTGCAAAACCGCCTATAAGATGAATCCGGATGATGTCATCGCTCGTAGTAATAGATGACTAATGCCTCAATAGTACCGAGTGTGCCTGCTTTGACACGGGGCTACCCCGGGGCTGCGACCGCTCAGTAGATCATCGGCGCGACGTAGGGGTGGACCGTGGTTGCATCCAAATATCTTCTTCAACCCCAACTGGTGTGTCAATTTTTCGCGAACAGGTGAATCAAGTTGACTGAGACTCACACGTTAAAGGGCTGTTGACTCATCTCCTTGTTCGATTTTTATCAATATTGTGGTTAACAGATTTACATACTTGAAATTGAAAAATGTCACAACGGAACAATCTTAAAGAGTTGGAAGCCTTTCGCCTCACCGCAAAACAAAAGCAAGACGTGAGCGGCAGTCATACCTAAAGACTCAGTGTGCCGCCTTCATGAAACAATCTAGTGGGCTTAAAACTTACATTGACGATTGACTTCTTTCGGCCTGGATTGTTCCTAGTTTGATGATAATGGATACTTAATCATTCCTAATTTCTTCACTAAAGAGGTAGCGAACCATTTACTCCAGCGTGCTAAACAACTGCTCAATGACTTCTCACTCGACGGTCATCCAATGGTGAGTTTCTGATCCCAAACTTCTTGCAGGCTTATATGAAAACTCTTTGGATTGACGTCAGTTTGTATCTTCTGAGGTTTAAAGACGAAATTCTCGACTGGAAGGAAAGATGGTAACGCGGATGGCAAGCATGTTGGTGATACCTACTTCTTAGAATCGGGTGATAAAATTCGATTCTTCTTTGAGGAGTACATCACGTTCGTTCTTCAAAGTAGGGGAAGATGATGCTGATCATAGAGATATTTCATCCAACGTAGAGATGCTTTCAATGCCGCTGGTGAACTGGTCAGACCTAAGGAGCTATCGGTCAACAAGATCGGACACGGCGTTCATGAGCTGGACTCAGCTTTCAGGCACTTTACACTTCAGAATGATAATATCAAGTCACTTGCTCGCGATCTCGGTGCTCATATAGATCCACTAGGTGCGTGCATGTTCTCCCTTGTTATGATTCTATCTCCAGAGGTTTTTGACGCGTGGCATCCTGACCGATACGCATTTTTCTAGTCTTGCAATCCATGATCATCTGTAAACAACCTAACATCGGAGCTAAAGTTCCAATACATGATGACTCCACATTTCTCTACACTGACCCGCCTAGTGCCTTGGGCTTTTGGTAAGATATCTTGCACTTTGGGGTATGACAGTTGACCAATCTGCTGTTTTCATATTCAACTCACCCCAGGTTTGCGCTTGAGCCATGTACGGCGGGACCCATCAATAATGGTTGTTTGAGCTTTATTCCTGGAAGTCACAAAAGAAACAAAGTCTATCAAAGATTTGTAAGGTTACCTGAAGGTGGAACTGGTTTTGCTAAAGTTGCAAATCAGGAAGATAAACCGGATTGGGAATCAGATCCGAATTGGGTTACTGAAGAATGCGACGCTGGTAAGTCATCTTCATCACATTTTTTCCCGCTCCCTATTCGATTGTACTGACATTCGATCTGAAAATCTTGCAAGGTACACTTGTGTTAATCAACGGACTAGTTATCCACAAATCCGAACGCAACCTGTCCCCTCATTCCCGATTTATTTACACGTTCCGTGCGCAGTCTTTCTAATTCTCAAACTTTATTGTCATGATACTGATGCTCTGCATTTCATGATCCCTGCAAATAGATATGATTGAAGGAGATGGTGGTTCTAAATATGATGAACTCAATTGGCTTCAACCAAGCCCTACGGTTCCGTTCTCGCGGCTTCTCGGATGACCAAAAAACAAAACCTATGCTTAAGGAAGAATTATCCATCAACCCGAGGTTTTCGTCATCTAGAGACGGAGCTTGCCAGTGCCACCGCAATTGCCATTGTCTGGCCTTCCAAGTACGTCGACATATCCTCAGCTTCCTCCGTGGGCTATCCCTGTATGGCCTGCTGGCTCTAGCACTATGAAGACAGGTCAGCTACGTCAAATTTGCAAGTCGTGTGTATCTTGTGATATTTAGAAAGCTATATAATACATAAAGCCTTGATGTATGAAGCATTTTGCTGGATTACATGATGGACAATATCAGTTGAGCCCATATGGTATCCAAAGATACCTATGTTCTCTTTCTGACTTCCACACCAGCCGCCTTATTATCACGATACGTCTTTCACTTGCAGTGTTCAATGGGCTGAGCCATTCATGGATAATGACTCCCGGATCTATTGAGTGAGGTTTTTACACAGAGTATCTGCTTGAAGATCTAGTGTCATACTGTGTACACTGCAAGAGACTTTGCTATAGATATCTGCATTCACAGGGGCCAAAATTGATGCTCACATGTATGTGAGCGTTGTAGACTTTTTTGAAGTCTTCAAAAAAGATTCATTTTCTTTCAGATTCATTCAATTCACAATTTTGGTTGTGTTCAGGTGATCAGCCTGTTTTGCTCACATTTTGCTTGACATTTCTTGAGAAGGCTCATTTCCATCTTGGATGAGCAATAACTGAGTCCAGATGAGTACTCAGGATCAGCTCATGAGTCACTGAATACTCCACAATTTGGTCAAAATTACAATGAGCACATGAACTACACCTTCCTCAGGCTTCATTTCTTAGCAAAGGCCTGCACAGGGGCGTCCCATTTGAGATGCTCAGGAAATACTCAGTATCATCCCCTGGCTGGGTCATTGATGGGCCAGACTTCCTTGCTAAGGAATGAAACCTCATAAAAGAGCCATCCCCCTGCTCAGTTTATCTCAGCCGCTCAGCTAATCTTAAGTGATGTCCCCTGGATAAAGCTGCTCACACCAAGGGGCTGAGATCAACTGAGCAGCCCCTCAGCTAGTCCTCTGTGACATCCTTTGGATCCTTCTGATCCCAGGAATTCCCCTGAGGACTAGCTGAGCAGCTGAGCAGCCCCTCAGCCAATACTCAGTCACATCCTTTGGATCCTTCTCCCAGGAATGCCCCTGAGGACTAGATGAGCAGCCCCTCAGCCAATGAGCAGTGAAATCCTTTGGATCCTTCTGATCGAGGAATGCCACTGAGGGATAGCTGAGCAGCATTGTTCAACTGAGCAGATGGGTGTCAGGCTTCATTCTGGAGCCATGAAGCCTGAGGAGAGGCTGGCCCTATGTGATCCATCCAAGGGATACTGTGGAGAATTAGTCAAGAGGATACTCAGGTCAGCTCAGCCCCTAAGCTAATCATAAGTGGTGTCCCTTGGAGCCTACTGAACCAGGGAATGCCGCTCAGGATCAGCTGAGCAGCTGAGATAAACTGAGCAGATGGATCAGCCCTTCCTCAGACTTCTTTGCTCAGGAATAAGGCCTGAGGAAGGCTTAGTTTGTCTGCTCAGTTCCTGTTGATCACATAATCAGATGACAAGCAGAAAGAAATTGGAAAGAAAAGGGAAAGACAAGGGAAAGAAAAGGAAAGCAAAATTGAACTAACATTGAAGAAAACACAAAAATTTCAACGCTCACACCTATGTGAGCATCTACTTTTGCCCCTGTGATTGATGGCCGGCCACCGTGGTTAGAGGTAACATTGATCTGAGCTTGCTTGGTGTTGTATATAATCCTCATAATTGCACCTGGAGGTTCAAGTAACTGCATCTATGCTGCCTATGGGCAGGCACATACTTGGAGCTTGGAGGTATGATGTGGCCTAAAAATTCCGGTACATTCATCTTTTCAAGTTTAAACTGGTCCTCCCCTTTGAAAATTGGTTTTGAAGTAGTGACTTGTATGGTAGTAGTACTTATGTCAGGATGACTAATAGAGATCTGGGTTATACCATCCAGGACCCTGGAGAGCTCCTCATGTAGAGGTGCATGATGTAAAAGTTTTCATTTTCTTATGTTTGCTGTGAATTGCTGTGTATCTCACAACCTCAACACCATGTTGAAAACTCTTCACACTTGTGTAGGTATGGAATTCACAGTCAACAAAGTGCTTTGCTCCTGGCTAGGCATTGGTAAGGGAGGAGCAAGGGATTTGGTCAAGTTTTTATGAATTTAAATTGTGGTGAAGTGTGTGTAGGAGAAAAATTTACATCATGCACCTTGATGAAAGCTCTCCAAATCTGGGGGCCTTGCTATCCACCCACTTAATTGGCAACCAGTGCATGACAAGTGGAATCAACTGTGCGCCACCAAAAAGTTTTACTTACCAAAAAAAGCAAGGTAAAGTAAGATGTGCACATCTTGAAAATGGCTAAAAGCCGTATGATTATGAATTAATGAAATTGTGACTTCTCATGTCTCTCTCCTCTCAAGCCATCACTGTCTATTTTTTGTACTTGGCCATTTTTTTCAATTTTTTCAATTTTTTGTTCTGTGATCACAAACAAAATCAAATCATCACCACCCCCATGTCAATCACAATTCAAATTCACATTGTCAAATCTGGTCAATCTTGAAAACCTTCAAGTGTTTATGAACACCTTATTGATTCCTTTGATGATGATCTGATAGAAAGATGTCTATATATGTTATGTAGAAGGTAACAGATCCTAGCTCAGGAAGGATCACCGACCTACAACAGTTATTGAAAAACAAAAGATAGGAATAGAAATTAGTATAAAGGATGACAAATGAATTTTGATCAATAACTTCTCTACTTGTGATGTGCTTCAGTAATTTTGGAAAAGAGCAAGATATGAGATACAGGAATTGAGTGAAATGAGCTCAAATGGCCTATTGATGGTAATGAGAATAGAATCAAACTATGACAAATCACAATGAGATTGTCTTAAAATTATTGTAGAATAAAAAATAATAGGTCTTTTCCCAAAGACAGGGGAAAGAGAAATTACAATGAGGAAACAAGTTGAACTATAAGATTCATTGGGAAAACATGTGAAATGGATAATTTGGCTGGGTTCATTTGTCCAGGAAATTCTTATTCATCACCTTTGAATGGCAGTTACTTCTATTCACATCTTTCTTTAATTTGATTGGATCTTGTCCGCACTTGATCAATCTCCATTTGATTTTATCATTCTGTTGATTGTACACCAACAAAACTCATTGGTGCTTTCATTTAAACCCAAAGTCAACTTCAACCTTCTTTACCCCACCACCAACAAATTTACCTGTGATGTTCTAATCCAAGGTATCCTTGGATGCCAAACCTGGGACAGAGGCTTCCCAAGGTTATGATCCAAGGTGATTTTCAGCGCAAGTGTTATGAACCAAGATGCAGTGAATACGATGAATGATACCCCAGGTGTGATAATGAGATTGCAGTATGAGGAGAGAAGAGTACAACGTGCAGACTCTAATAGGTGAAAAAGGTACAACTCCCACTACTAGCATAACTGTATATAAGCATAATGATATCGAGTTATGTTGTGGTAATTAACTAAGTAGTCTTTTTCGTATGTACTTAGAGTGGTCAAGGACTTCCGGTTAGAGTAGTGTGAAAGAAGAAATTGAATATTATCAAAGAAGAAATTGAAATTATCAAAGAAGACGTTATTGAAATTATGTCAGATGAATTTATTGAAATTAAGAAGATGTGTACGGATCAAGGTGTTATGAGTTCCAAAAGGATCGTGTTGAGAACTAATTGGGAATAAGTCGTGTGAGACTTGAGCGTTTCTTTTGTCACTTTTATTATTTCATTTTTATGTTAGACTTGCCTGTGTTTGCTTTAAATAGTTGCTACCTTTCATCACTCAGATTCTTTTCTCATTATCAAAAAGAATCTGTGAGTCATTTTACTTCATATTTTATTTTATAATTTCTGATCTAACTTTACTCGTTAAACAAACCTTTAGTTTTACGAACCTTTACTCATTTTTGATCTTATTGACCGTACCGTGATACCTGTTGCATTGCACAGGTTTGTTATAATCTCTTTTCTCTCATATTTCATCTTTTACTAATTGTTGTGTTGTTATAGGTGTGTCTCATTGTTTGAGAAGCTCTTCGTAGCTTGTTGATTGGCTTGTTGCCTTTACTTACGAATACCTGATTACCCCAGGTGTGTCTCATTGTTTGAGAAGCTCTTTGTAGCTTGTTGATTGGCTTGTTGCCTTTACTTACAAATACCTGATTACCCCAGTGTACCAATCTTTATCGGCAACGCCCAATAAGCTTCTTAGAGCTCATCAACTCCTTTCATTTCAAGTTATAACAGTATCCCCCTTTTAGCGCCCAAGTCCCTCTTGCTGCTCTACGCTCTATCCCTGGGTCAGCATTAAAAAACCCTGTGGGAAAAAGCTTGACCCTCTCTCATCTTCTCATTGTCCTCGTGTTCTTCTTCTTGCTTCTTTTGACATTATTGACTTTTAATATATCCGGAAACCTTTCATGAAATGAATTGATCAAGTCTTGTGCGTGAGTTAAATTCGATGCTGGCTCCCAAGAGTCGTCTTCTTTACCATAACCCTTCCAACTTATCAAATATTGAATTTTATTATACCTACGACGACAATCCAATATTTCATTTACCTCCCACTCTTTCTCGCCTTCTATGATTACTGGATCAGGTATTGCTTGTTGTCGGGGTGTTATTGTGTCGGGTTCGAATTTCCTTAGTACAGAGACGTGAAACACGGGATGTATGCCCTGCATAGTCAGCGGTAACTCCAGTTTATAAGCAGAGGTTGAGATTCTTTTAACAATACGAAATGGCCCAAGCCAGCAATGATCCAGTTTCGGGCTTGATCTCGTGGTCGATATATTACGACTGCTGAGCCATACTTGATCATTTGTTGTCCACGATGGTGTATCTCGAACGCCTTTGTCGAATTGCAACTTCATTGCCTCTTGCG